CCATTTAAAAACAAAAATAAACAAATAAACCTAATTAATTACCCCCCAAAAAAACTTAATGTATTACCATAAATGAAATAATACTTACAGAGTTTTATGTTTTTAGAGATTCTCAGGTATTTTTTAGTTGATGTGTAAGAGTTATATATTGGAATTTTTAAAAAGTATATAAGGAAGCAGTTTAGAGCCAAGTATAGTAGTAACCTATTGTATTTGCCCATAGGGAACATAAAAAAACGTATTTTCCTTCTGGAGATTTTCATAGTGGGAGCACAATTGCTGTTATAGTCCTTTTTTTTTTAATAAAATTCATCTACCATAAAATGTACTTTTCTTTTTTTTTTTTTTTAGTTAAATTCATGTCTAGTAATTATAGGCACTGTGGTCCCCCTTCCCCCTGCCCAGGCAGCAGCAGGGGTGGTGCAGGGGCTGGGGCATATGCCCCCAGCAGGGAGGACAGCAGTCCCAAGAGTGATTTTCAGAAAATAAAAAGGACCCCAGGGGCAGGCGCTGGTGCCCCCTCCCCCCCAAAAATGTACTCTTCTGAAGTATACAGTTGGCTGATTTTTGGCATACTCATAAGATTGTTCAACCATTAGCTACTGTCTAATTCTGGAACATTTCATCTTCCCCAAAAAGAAACTCTTGCACCTGTTAACAATCACCCACTACCCCCAGCAGCAACTAGTCTACTTTGTGTCTGTGGATTTGCCTATTCTGGACATTTCATATAAATTCAACATGTGGCTTTGTGACTAGCATCCTTTACTTAGCATGATTATTTGAAGGTTCACCCATGTTGTGACACGTATCAGTCTTTCATTCCTTTTCATTGCTGAATAATATTCCATTGTGTGGATATACCACATTTCATTTATCATTCATCAGTGATGAGCCTCAGAATTGTTTCCACTCTGTGGCAATAATGAATAAAGCTGCTGTGAACATTTGTGCACAAGTCTTCGGATGGATGTCAGTGTTCAGTTCTCCTGGTTATATACCCAGGGATGGAACTGATGCTCATATGCTCTAGTCTGAAGCATGGACCTCATCCTTCTACCAAGGTGAGCAGCTGCACAGCATGGGAAAGGGAACACCTCTCTGCCTCCTCCCTCTTCTGTTGCCATGGTATCCACCCGGCCCCTACAAAGAACACTGGTCCCCACGAGGCTGTAGCAGCAGGTACATCAGGAACCCAAGTGCTGAATCTTGGCTCTGGAACTTATTGGCTGTGTGGCCTTGGATAAATTATTTAACATTTCTGTGCCTCAATTTCATCATTTGTAAAATGAGGATAATAATGCCACATACCTCATAGGGTTTAGGGAATATTAGCTTCTTTATTTATAAATATGAGGAGCTTAAAACAGTGCCTGGTGCACACTGAGTGCTGTGTATACAGTGAGTGCTGCTGCTGTTATGAACCTTTTCAAGATATTTTTTACTCACCATTCTGTGAGAACTGTTTTTCCATCTTCCTGTAATAGCTTTCATACTGTTCCATTTTCTCACTGAGTTTCTTTGGGTAAAGCAGAGGCCAGGTCCAAAGCCTTATTTTGATCTTAGGTTGGTTTTGGTGATGACAGTGAGTTTAATTTAGCTCTATGGTTATGGTGGTGGCGGCGGCGGCAGCATCTGACGTCTACGGAGCCCTTCCAGTGTGGCAGAGGGTGTGTGCTGAGCGCCCTGCGTTGTTACTTAAGCTGATTCTTTCCAGCCATCTCATGTGGGAGGTACTCACACTCCCATCTTCCAGATGAGGAAGTGGAGGCTCAGAGCACTTCTGTCAGCAGCATGACTGCTGTGTTCTCCATCTAATCCCTGGTCCCTAGACCAGCGCCTGGGACTGGTTGATGCTCCATAAATATTTGTAGAAGGAACGAGTGCCTTTGCCCAAGATCACGCAGCTCACACACTGTATAGCTGCCTTCAAGCCAGTGGTCTGACCCCAGCGTGGTTCTTAGATTCACTGTGTCAGTTCTCACGACATTGTCTCTACAGCATAGTAAACACTGGTTCACAGTCTTCCCACGTCGCAGGACCTGTGTGTGGTAACCGCTGGAGATGACTTGTCCCAGCTCCGAAATAAATACTCGTGTAACGTGGGAAGCCTAGTCCCAGAAGTTCCTTGTAGGTTGTCCCTCATCAGACTTTCGTATGCGGTGCACAGGGTCTGGCCCAGATTGTTTTCTTGGGGTGAAACTAAGCGAATAAAGTCTTGGTATTTGTCAGGTGTTTTAGGAAGTTAAAATGACTCAATTCCTTATTCCTTATTCCACCCCTTTCCCTTAATCTGTTAATCTAACGGCCTGAGTAGAGATGAGGGTCACGGAGTGTAACTGTACATTTTACGTATGTAATGGGGGAGTTACAGGTTTGAGCCACTTTGCAGGCCACGTTGTTGCTGTTTGGACAGTAACTCCTTCGTCACTGCCGGTATCAGAAACTGAGCATCCTGCATCCCTCCTGTTTTGAAGCTCTTCCCTTTAGTAGGTGGTTCTGGAAGCATTCTTTTTCCTGCCTTTCTAGACTGAGTACAGATATTTTACAAGATTAATTAAACAGTTGCGATATGGGTAGAATCTAAAAGAAATCTCAGGGTGAGAATGAGA